CCAAGCCCAGCAAGTGGGCTGGGCTCTGAGCTGGATGAATGAGTGGGAGGAGACACTAGGGTAGGGGGAGTGGCAACACTGGCAACACCTCCTTTAGCCTTGGAGGAGGAGTAAGGAGGTGGTAGAGGAAGCTCAGACTCAGTGGGCGTATCTAAAATGGGCGGGTTGCGGCCCTGAGGACAGGCGAGTCCTGGCCACCACAAGGCGACATTGCTCCTCTTGGCATACTTTAATCCATTTGGGCAATCTTTCCACAACCTGTTTCCAACAATCAATGTACTGAAACTGATCGTAAAATTCAGGCCTACTAGATACAGCCATGTGTAAACGCTGCACTAGATTTGGATCAAGACTACCATGTGGAGGCCATGCGGTCACCAAAATAGGCCATTCTCTGCTACACAATGTAGTCAGATGCTTTGGGGATAATTTTACCCCAAAATCACAAATATTGTATCCCTTTGCGAAATTGTTTAGCATACATGACAAGGGATCAACTAAGTTTGAATCAGACGCACCCATACTTGGCAACAGAGCGTCGAATTCAAAGAAAAAAAACAAACGCACTCCCAACAGTCACACCCGTTTCCCTGGCAACAGCACCACAGTTACTATGCCAAACACACACAAAAACACGCAGAGAATTCTCATACACACAGTGATAACACGACATCTTCACACACAAAGATTCACCAAACACTAGATACTTATCTCCGCAACGGTTGTCATGGGCCCGGCGGGAGGGAAGGGGGAAATAAATTTAAGGAAGGGAGGGAGGGGTAGGAAAGAAATTTAAGGGGGGGAGGAAATTTGAGGAGGGAGGAAAAATTGGGGAGGGAGGAAAGAATTTAAAGGAAGGAAATTTTGAGGTGAGGGAGAGGAAGGAAATTTTGAGGTGAGGGAGAGGAAGGAAATTTTGAGGGAGGTGGGAGAGGAAGGAAATTTTGAGGGAGGTGGGAGAGGAAGGAAATTTTGAGGGAGGTGGGAGAGGAAGGAAATTTGAGGGGAGAAGAAAGAGAGAGAAATTTTGGAGAAGGCAATGAGAGGGAAGGAGAAGGAAAATTGGAGAGGAGAGAAAGAAAAGAGGAAGTGGAGGGAGAAGAAAGGACATTGGAGGAGAGAAAATTAGAGGAGGGAGAGGAAGAAATTTGAGGGAGAAGGAAAGAGGTGAGGGAGGAAGAAATTTCTGTGAGGGGAGAAGGAAAGGAGAATTTGAGAGAGGAAGGAAATGGAGGGAGAGAAGGCAATGAGAGGGAAGGGGAGAAGGACATTGGAGAGGGAGGGGAGAGAAGAAGGATATTGGAGAGGGGGGGAGAAGAAAGAAGTTGGAGGGGAGAGAAGAAGGAAATTGGAGGGGGGGGAGAAGAAGGAGAGGAGGGGGAAGGAAATTGGAGAGAGGGAAGGAGGGGGAAGGAAATTGGAGGGCGGAGAAGGAAATTGACGGGGGAGGGGGAGAGATTGACATACATCACACACACACACACAATGCACCCCTTGCACACAGAAAAACAAAGAATGCATTACACACAGACACACATACACAAGCAATGCATCCCTTACACACAGCAACACACAATGCACCCCTTACACACACTCAATGCATCCCTTACAGACGCACACGCTGCATCCTATACATACACAAACTCACCTTGCAGCCCTTACACATACAAACACAAATTCACACAATGCATTCCTTACACACATCAGGACATCCGCCCCACACACACTCCACCCCCTGTGAACAAACTTATTGGTGGAACATGAAGGTGGATCCTGGGACCCAGACATTGAGCAGTGTAAAGGGCCCAAATGGAGCTGCTTCCAGTTGATCCCAGAACATTGATTTTTGTGACCACAGTTACAAACCGCCTCCAGAGAGCCTGTTCTACACCAGACCAGTGGAGCCAGACGGGAGCTAGAGCCCATCATCATCCTCATCTGGTTGTAAGTAGGCAATCTAGTATATTATTTGTGGCACTAATCTCTAATTTACCTCACATTAAAGGGACACTATAGTCCCCAGAACCACTACAGCTTAATGTAGTGGTTCTGGTGTCTAGCCTGTCCCTGCAGGCATTTTAATGTAAACACGGCGGCACTGCAGCATTGGTGTTAGTTAACATGGCAGATCATATGGGTGAGGCATTGTGATGTCACATGGAGGGGCGGCAAAGTTTACTTTTGCCTAGGGCGGCAAAAATCCTTGCACTGGCCCTGCAGACACTGCATTCCTGTGGGCGGACTCGGTGTGCGGGCTGCAGCACTTTGGGCGGACTCGGGTGCAGGCACCGGGGGGCCCAGACCTTGAGCTGTGTCAGGGCCCCCACAATTTCTAATGGCAGCCCTGCTTATCTCTGTAACTATAGATCAAACCCTTCAATCATCCACGCAGTAAATCAACTTTCTATTACCCGACTATAACACACTCCAGTAACATCGTCTTTACAATCAGTAGTTATGGTACGGTTAGCAAGTGGTTATGGTACAGTTTTAGAATCACAGGTCAATTAGTAACAGTTATGGTGTTACACATATAACACAAAACAGGTTTTTAGTAGTTATATACAATACACAATGTCAGTAATTATAATACATGTTAGTGGTTATGGTACCGTGCACTATTATACAGTTATACACACAATTTACACTCCCACTAGACAGCAGAGCTCAAGCTTTCTAGCCGGACATACAATTTAACCAATTCACCAGTTCACCAACTACAGTATATCTAACAATATTTACAGTAATCCCAACTATTCTAATTGGCCAGCACCTTGAGAACTATCGAACTATTTACACCAGGATTCGGTTAGTCTACGCTGCCCAACCACCACATATAGCGAACTAATGAGCGGAATTTACAACAGGACGCATTTAGTCTATTTAGTATCAATAGTGTAGTGGTTGAATTTACACGCCTCCCACTTAGCCAAGATAGGTTGAGATCTAGTAGACGGAATGAACACCAGAGTTCTGCATAGTCTCCCGGTCCCCCCGACCAAGCGACCAAAATTTACACCTAGATACACTAGTCAAGCCAGGACACCGGTGTCCGGCCTGAACTATTTACACATAGATTCAGCCTGACCCAAACCACCTGTATTAGACGGGCTGACTACAGAGCGTCTAAAGTCAACAAAGCGGTGCGCCTTTGCTTTTTCCTTCCAGAGGGAAGGGGCAGATTCCATACAACCAAACCAATTCCAAATACAAACCCCTTGTGGGCCTACCGCTCTAAAGGTATTAATCTTACCTCTTCGTTCCTGGACCTGGGCTTCACACTCATCGACGAGTCACCCCGGAACTCACTGCGCAGAAGCCTATGATCTCCTGGACAAAAGGCCAGTGGCGCCGAGACGAAAGGAGGTTCACGCAGAAGTCCAGGGGTGCTGCCGTGGAGAAGGTTGGTAAAGATCTACCGTCTCACCTCTCTGTCTCAGCTACCGTGATGATGAGCTAAATAGTACATTTTGGGCATGCTCTTCATATCTGAGAGTCAAATAGAAGCATCAAATAGTGTGCATACAGTGCAGTTGTAAAAATTCTTATTTTCTGGGTGCTAATCTGCTAAATAGTACATTTTGAGGCCTGCTCTTCATATCTGAGAGTCAAATAGAAGCATCTAATAGTGCGCTTACAGCAAAGTTGTAAAAATTCTTATTTTCTGGGTGCTAATCTGCTAAATAGTACATTTTGGGCGTGTTCTTCATATCTGAGAGTCAAATAGAAGCGTCTAATAGTGCGCTTACAGAGCAGTTGTAAACATTCTAATTGGTTTGCTGCTAAACTGCTAAATAGTACATTTTGGGTCCTGCTCTTCATGTCTGAGAGTCAAATAGAATAGTCTAATAGTGCGCTTACAGCGCAGTTGTAAACTTTCTTATTGTTTTGGTGCTAAACTGCTAAATAGTACATTTGTGGCATGCACTTCATATCTGACAGTCAAATTGAACCGTCAAATACCAATATAACAATATTGTAATTCGGGGGCAATACCCTCACAAGTCAAACTGAGAGGTCAGTTTATAGGAAAAACTGTTGCCTGGATACAATTCTAAAACAATTTCCATATGTCCTTTGCAGACTTTACATGCTGGAAAAACACAGGTGCCAATTGCTGTGGCTTTCTGCAGTGTGTCAGGGTTGAGGAGAGGGTGGAAGATGATGTGGAGGATGATGAGGTCCTAGACCCCACATGGAATCAAGGTCATGCTAGTGACGTGTGCAGTTTGGAGGAAGAGGCGCTGGTCGCACAGAGGCACCAGCACAGCATAAGAGGGAGCAGCATGCAAAAGCGGAGCGGCCGTCCTTTAGCGCTCGTCACAATGTATTATCTTTCGAATTCCCACAGTTATCCAAGTAACAGATGGAGCGATAAAAGGAACCATAACAGATTTAACAAGCCATTCACAGTTTTACAGTCAGGAGGGCAGTCCGGTGTCCGGGACCCAGACACTGTTTGGGCGGTGGTTGGACGACCGGGACCCAGTATGCCTGATGTTGAAGTTAGGAGTCACAGTGTGGAATGAATTAGCAGGGTCTGGTGCAAGGTAACCGCACGCCCCCTGGTGTTGAGCACCAGTGTTTGTGCAGCCACATATCAAGACCCTGATGCAGCTTCAGTAAAAAGAGTACTGGATACCAGAAGTCATCACCAGACTGATCCGCAATTTGGAACAGGATGTGACATTCTCTGTAGCGGCAGTGCGCGCTTCCGGCGTTCTCACCCTGCTGCTGCTCGCCTGTCTGCGCTGCAGCGTAACTTTGGCCTTCCCGCTCACTGCCTCATATGCGACATGCCGACAAGTTGGAACTCCACCTTGCACATGCTGGAGAGACTGTGCGAGCAGCAGCAGGCGATAGTGGAGTTTCAGCTGCAGCACCACGCACGGGTCAGTCGCTCTGCACCAGACTTGCCCTCCAATTGATCAGAGTTAAAGGATTTCAAGTGGACTCATTACAATTACAGGGCCTCTAAAGAGTCCTGTATTGTTATTTGACGTCACTACCTTTCCGCGTCGCAAGTGGGTCATTTGCGCACCTGCTGCCTTCCTTGCATGTGGTAGCCGTTTCTCAGATTCCCTCTCAGTAATCCAAGCCTGATTCCCCGTTACCCGTGGTCACCATGGTAGGCGCAGAAACTGGCATCGAAAGTTGATATGGATGACATCCGAATGCAAAGTCACCATCACAGGGACGCGCGATTAGCCCAAGGTTCTCTAGAGTCAACACAGTGCCTGTGCAACTATAATGTCGACAGCTATTCTGCCGAACGGATCTTCACTAATAGGTAGGGGGCCCTATGCCGGACCCTTCTCTTCCCCACTTTCTGGCAGACATCTGGCAGTACTGCCTCAGATCCTGAGAGATGCCTGGCCAGAAGAAGCTGTGGGTGAGCCGAGACGCTGTCCGGCTCCTGCCCAAATGCCCTGCCAAGGGGATATCGTGAGCTAGCTTCAGCAGCTCTTACCAATACTTCTTGGGTCTGGGGATGGTGGTCTCTCACCAGCCGTGTCATTGGGGAGCCCATTGAAAAAGTGCTCTAGCATGACGAACTGGCTTGATGGTAGTTGAGCCAGTTCTGGGTGGCCCTTGTGATGCGGCATTCCCACTCCACATGGGAGTCCTTCTCCCCTTTCCGAGTCTCCCTAAACTTTCGGCGGTATTGCTCGGGGGTGACCACATACCGGGCCAGGAGGATTTACGTAATAAAGGCATAGTCTCTGATCTGCTCTTCTGGGACAGCCCGGTAAATATCCGCTGCCACTAGTTTGCTGGCCAGAATGGTGACCCAGTCGCAGGGGTCCACGTCTTGGAGTAGGCACTGGCGCTTAAATTCTTGTAAAAAGTCATCAATGCCTTCTTCTGCTTCCTTGAAGTCTTTGAAGGCATTGTATGGTAGCCTGTGGGCCAGGGTGGTTGTGCTTCCTGGCGCCCTCTGCTCCCTTCTTCCTTCATCTGGGTTCATGGAGGTCGCCCTCTGTCTATTGGCAAGGACATAGGCTTGCACCTCTAAAAAGGTCCTGCTAACAATCTCCTCTGAGGGTGGCTCTCGGTTATATGCCAGGCGCTGTTACACCTACTTGTGCACTTCCTCCTCATCTCCTGCTGCTGCTCACCTGTCTGCGCTGCAGCGTAACTTCGGTCTTCCCGCTCACCGTCTCATGAGACTGTGTGAGCAGCAGCAGACAATAGTGGAGTTTCAGCTGCAGCACGCACGAGTCAGTCGCTCTGCGGAACAGAGTTGTCTTTTTTTATATGTCCCAATATTTTGGGAGCTACCCCAATTAAAAAAAATCTCCGCCTCCACTGCCGCTTCCACCTACACCGCCACGGTCACTGCCTCCTCAACCTATGGGTCACTTAGTATAAACTATGTACACAATAGCAGAGCCTTGTGAAGGCCTTTTCTCCATACATCAGGAGTTGAGCTCAGTTTGAACAATGAAAGAGAATACCCTGCACTCCAACCCTCTCTCAAATGGATAATTCTGGTGATCCTCCTGACAGCCATGCTTTAGATTTTGATTTATGTTCTTCCAAAGCTAAAATCAAAGATTCCATCTAGTGCTAGGCTCAGCTGTATTTTTAATTGTTATGTTATTTTACGTGATTTCCCTATCCACATTTGTTTGCAGGGCACTTGTCCTACTCCTACCCCAATTTTACTTCCTTTTGCAGCCCTCTAGTCCTTTCCAGGAGTTTTTTAGAGGCATTTTTGTGCCCAAAAGTTTGGGTCCCCATTGACGTCAATGGGATTTGGGTTCGGGGTCAACTTCCCGGACTTTTTTTCAAAGTTCTGCTGAACCCACAGGACCCAAACATCCAGGTGTCCGCTCAACTCTAATCAAGACCAAGTGGGCTTCATTTTAAACCATAAGGCCCCAGATAGCACTAGACATTATATTATTTTGATTCACCACATTAAAATGAACCGCACGCCTTCTCTGCTCTTATCTTTAGATGCGGAGAAGGAGTTCGATAGGATACATTGGGATTTTTTAAAAGACGTTATGTCGAGGTTTCATATTCCAGATTCCTTCATTAGAGCTGTGTTCGCATTGTACTGTAATCCAACAGCCACGGTGTCCGCAACTTGCATTGTATCTGACAGTTTTCCTTTGTTACAAACTATTGGTTACTGTTATTGGCTCGTTACAACTCAGAAGCGAATATTATTCATTGTTACATTTCACCCAGAGTTTCACTACAGTACTGGGAATTGATACCTAACTCTTGAACTGCGCGCCTGATGGCTATTCGTTATACGAATGGCAGACCACCAGGATCTTGGCGTGTGCCGCCACTTAACCCTGGTCACCCCTGGAACAACCGAACGGCCGACCACCCGACGAGCGGAGTGTGTCTCCACCTAATCACCCAGAGAGTTGTGGTCTGCGGTTAACTGCAACCTAATTGACGGCAGCAGGGCGTTCACGTTCGTGCCCCATCGCCCGATGCTCTAACTACTGAACGGCTATCGAACAAGGGCCACCTACAGCCTGGCGTGTGGCTCCAATTAGAATGTTGGTTTCTGCGGTTAACCGCAGGTTAAGTCCCCCGTCCCGGCAGTCTTCCTTCGCCTCCTGAACAACGGAGACATCCAGCGACAGAGCAGGGATTCGTGCAGACTTCTAGCCGGTTCCTGTTCCACAAGTTTGAGAGTGAAGTCCCGCAGCTTATTAGTCTGCCTCAAAACATGGCCGCCATCACACGCTCAGAACCCAAAGACACGAACAGACTTTGTTTCGAGGAAATGAAGCGTACCATTCGTGGGTTCTGAGCGCTCTTCGGTAATTGTTTTGCCTCAACCGTGGCTATGTAATGAATGGTGGAAGGCACAAATTATGTATAATACTAGATGAGTTATGTATTTTTATTCTGTTTGCTATGGGGCAAAAACCCGTGGGGTTTTGGCCGCTTGGAGATAATTGTATTGTCACAACCATTGGATTCATTATCTCCAAACTGGGCGGTGACGATTTCAAACGATGCATTGCATTTCTATTGGTTCCCCACTTGTATTGTCCCTGTATCCCATCAGGTCCAGAGGGGGCTGTCCCTGGACCTGAGATTTTGCATAAATACAGTCCCCTGTGTGTCATTAAAGCCAGTTCTTGCTTGACCTTCAAATCGCAGCCTTGACTCGTTTTGTAGGGAAAAGGGTATCCTAGCTGTATGATAGCTAGTGGGATTGCTCTACATTTACAGGATTCGTATGGAATAACTACCGAAGTGTCTTTCCTCTGTCTCTGCCTTTTGGATCCAGACCATCCAAGCGGTCCAGCTTCCAGCTAGCCTGGAGGTAACCGTAACATTTGGTGGCAGCGGCGGGATCGTTCTGGACTTGCTAGGAGAGATACCGAACGGATGGAGAGCATCTATGACAAATTGAAACGCACTACCGTAAAGGATTTACTTGAAAGCCGAGGTGGGAACGTGAGTAACCGGCCGAGGAGGGAGCTGATCGCAGAGCTGACCGAACTGGATCAGAGTTTCACTATGGCAGAAGCCCCAACAACGACGGGTGACGAAAAGACCAGGATTGTTCAGGAGAGGCTCTCACTATATGGGCCGAACCCCTCTATGGAACAGCAGCTGATGGAAGAGGCAGATGAGGACATACAGAAAGCTAGAGCCCACGAGCTCAGCCTGGTGACCGCACACCGCAACGCAGATGCAGTCTCAACCGTAAGTCCTGCAGAGAACCCCGGGAGGCCAAAGATACCCTATGCGGCTTTTAGACCCTTCCTGGAGAACGAGAATATTTGGCAGACTTTGAACGACAATGTGCACTACATCAGATTCCCGACAAAGAGTGGCCCACGATATTGTCTGGAAAACTATCCGGGCAAGCACTAGAGTCATTCCGGACCTTGAGTGCTGAGGAGGTGACTCAGTACACTCTAGTCAAAGACACACTCCTACGACGGTATGCGGTAACACCGGACACGTATCAACGACAATTTCGAAACACTAAAAAGAAACCTAATGACACTCACATGGAATGGGCGCACCGAATGCGGAGAGCAGCGAACCACTGGATGAACGGGAGTAAAGCCGTGACCGCTGAGGAAATATTACAATTATTTCTGCTGGAGCACTTTTATAATGGCATCAAGCAACAGGGAAAGGAATGGCTGCGAGACAGACGACCTGCTACCTTAGAAGAAGCGGCAAAGTTGGCCGCCGAGCATTATGAGTCCCGGTTGCACGAATCCACAAATTACCGAACAACGGGCCGAACATAGGGACAGTTACCGAACGCCGTCCCGCACCGAATTCAGAGCTCCACGGTACACAGGACCACCCAGTAACAACCCCACTGACCGGCCCCGACCAAAGTGCTTTCAATGCAAACAACCGGGTCACCTCCTGGCAAGCTGTCCTCTAAACTCCCATCAGACCTCTAGGAATTACAACTCCTCTGCCGGGCCATCTTGCCTTGCCCGGGCCCTCTGCATTAACCAAGAGAGCCCTATGGAGGAATACCTGGGACCACTACATGAAGCCGACCCTGTATATGCCGCTTCGGATAATCGCCAGCATCATTGGCAAAAAGTATGGCTAGAGGGTCACTCTACCGAGGGACTAAGGGACACCGGCGCTACGATTACACTAGTCCAGAGCCATTTGGTTCTGTAACACAAGAGATCGGGACAGACTGTGGCAGTTAGAATGGCGGGGGGATGTATACAAAATTCCTACCACCAAAGTACATCTTGATTGGGGAGCGGGAAAAGGGACCGTGAATGTAGGCATAATGGACAATTTGCCTGCTGAAGTGCTACTGGGTAACGATTTGGGTCCTATGACTTCTGCCTATGCTCCAGTCTATAACAATGAGGTGAATCCTGTGACTACTCGGGCACAAGCACAGATGCAGCGGGAACCCTAACCAGTGCGGGAGACACAGGTAAGACTCACCCTGACCTTAGGTCCCATACAATGGGACACTCCCACCACATTTGAGACTGAGTCTAAGACCGACCCGACTTTACAAAAATACAGAGAACGGGCCGGGATGGGAGGGGGTGGACTAGATAACGAAACATTTTTATGGGAGAAGGGAAAGCTGTTTCGGCTGACTGAGAAACAGGGACAACACAGACGACAGCTGGTAGTACCCCACAAATACCGACAAGAAATATTAAATATAGGACATGATATACCCTTAGCCGGCCACCTGGCTGTGACCCGTACCCTACACCGCATTACTCACACCTTTTTCTGGCCAGGGTTACACGCTGATGTTAGGACCTATTGCAACACATGCGATGTGTGTCAGCGAGTAGGGAGGAGAGGCGACCATCCTAAGGCACACCTGGTGAATATGCCCATTGTAGAGGAGCCATTTAGCAGGGTGGCCATAGACTTAGTGGGGCCACTGGCTACCCCTAGTCCCTCCGGTAAGCGCTACATTCTTACCGTAGTGGACTACGCTACCAGGTACCCAGAAGCCGTGGCCCTATCTAACATTCAAGCAGATACGGTAGCCAATGCACTAGTACAGGTGTTCTCGCGAGTAGGATTCCCCAAAGAAATCCTGTCAGATCGAGGTACACAATTTACAGCTGAGTTAACGCAGCAACTCTGGCAGGTTTGTAACATTAAGTCGCTTCTAAGCTCCCCCTACCACCCTCAGACGAACGGACTTTGCGAAAGGTTCAACGGGACCCTTAAACAAATGCTCAAAATGTTCACCCAAGAATATAGAGACTGGGAACGCTTCCTACCCCACCTCCTGTTCGCTTATCGGGAGGTGCCCCAGGAAACAACAGGATTCTCTCCCTTCGAGCTGCTCTATGGTGCAAGGTACGGGGACCCCTAAACCTGATCCGAGAGCACTGGGAGGGAGATACTGAGACAGACGGTGTCCCAATCATACCATATGTATTGGAACTCCAGGACCGAATGGAGCAATTAGCCAAATCTGTGCAAGCTAACCTCCAGTCGGCCCAGTAGAGACAAAAAGTATGGTACGATCAGGGAGCACGGTAAAGGACTTTTGTCTTGGGACAAAAAGTACTGGTGCTCAAACCGGTTAAGACCGATAAACTCCAAGCCTCCTGGCAGGGGCCGTACCAGGTGGTAGAGAAAAAAGGAGACACCAACTATGTTATCGCTAGTTGCCAAGATAACAACCTTAGGAAAACGTTTCACGTGAACATGCTCAACGAATACTTTGAGCGACCGGAAAATGTGACAGCCGTCTGCTGCCCACCCCATGAAGATCCAGACAGCCTACCAATCCCCGACCTACTAGAATGAGGGCCCCACTCAGATATAATAACCCAGGTCAAGGTAGGGGATCGACTTAGTATCACTGAGAGGGAGCAGCTTAACCAACTGCTTCGAGCCAAAAGTCGCACTTTCTCCCAAAAACCCGGGTACACTACCCTGACCACACACCAGGTGGATACCCCGGGACAACTTCCCCTAAGACAGGCCCCCTATCGGATCCCAGAGGCTGTTAGGACAGAAATGAAGAAGGAGATCGATGAAATGCTTAGTATCACTGAGAGGGAGCAGCTTAACCAACTGCTTCGAGCCAAAAGTCGCACTTTCTCCCAAAAACCCGGGTACACTACCCTGACCACACACCAGGTGGATACCCCGGGACAACTTCCCCTAAGACAGGCCCCCTATCGGATCCCAGAGGCTGTTAGGACAGAAATGAAGAAGGAGATCGATGAAATTGAGCCGTCCAATAGTCCTAGTACCCAAGAAAGATGAGTCTATCCGATTTTGTGTGGATTATTGGAAGCTCAATGATAAGACCGTGACAGACGCATATCCTATGCCCAGGGTAGACGAGCTACTCGATCGCATCGCCAGGGGAAACTATTTGACTACCATTGACCTCTGCAAAGGTTATTGGCAAATCCCCCTGGCCCAGGAAGCTATCCCCAAGTCGGCATTTGTCACCCCGTTTGGCTTATACCACTTTAAGGTAATGCCATTCGGGATGAAGAATGCCCCAGCTACATTTCAGTGCTTGGTGGATAGACTCCTGGATGGCTTTCAGAGTTTTGCATGTGCATACCTGGATGACATAGCGATCCACAGTGAGTCCTGGGAGGACCACTTGGCTCATGTAGGCATGGTTCTGGACCAGGTTCGGGCCGCGGGCCTGACGCTGAAGCCCGAAAAATGCCATTTTGGGATGGGCGAGGTCCAGTACCTAGGGCACAGAGTATGGTGTGGGAAACAGCGACCAGAAACGGCCAAGATAGAAGCCGTAGCCAATTGGCCCACTCCCACCACTAAGAGTCAGGTCCTAGCCTTCTTGGGCACAGCCGGGTACTACAGACAGTTCGTACCGGACTACAGCACGATTGCCAAACCATTGACTGACCTGACCAAGAAAAACTTACCCAGACAGGTCCTGTAGTCTCCCCACTGTGAAACTGCTTTTCAGGCTCTTAAGACTGCACTTATTAACGCTCCTGTCTTGGCGGCCCCAGCCCCTAACAAACATTTTATCGTCCATACAGACGCTTCCATGTTCGGGCTGGGGGCCGTCCTCAGCCAAGTAGGCGAAGACGGAGGGGAACATCCGATCACCTACATCAGCCGAAAGCTCCTACCATGCGAAGTCAGCTATGCAGCGGTAGAAAAGGAGTGTTTGGCCCTGGTGTGGGCACTAAAGAAATTGACTCGCTATTTATATGGACAAGAGTTTTTGCTGGTTACTGATCATAACCTGTTGGTGTGGCTAAACTGGGTCTCGGGAGACAATGGCAGACTACTAAGGTGGAGCTTATCCTTACAACCCTTTAACGTCACGATTGCCTACAGACCTGGAAAACAGAATGGCAACGCCGACGGTTTGTCCAGGCAAACAGATCTCAACCCAGAGTAACCACCGTCTGGACAGCCTTAGTCTACCCTGAAAAGGGGTCAGACGGTGTCTGCCAGAGCGTTCCACAAAGAGGGAGCACTGTTACAAACTATTGGTTACTGTTATTGGATCGCTACAACTCAGAAGCGAATATTATTCATTGTTACATTTCACCCAGAGTTTGACTACAGTACTGGGAATTGATACCTAACTCCTGAACTACGGGCCTGCCGGCTATTCGTTATACGAACGGCAGACCACCAGGATCTTGGCGTGTGCCGCCACTTAACCCCGGTCACCCCTGGAACAACCGAACGGCCGACCACCCGACGAGCGGAGTGTGTCTCCACTTAATCGCCCAGAGAGTTGCGGTCTGCGGTTAACTGCAACCTAATTGATGGCAGCAGGGCGTCCATGTCCGTGCCCCATCGCCCGATACTCTAACTACCGAACGGCTACCGAACAAGGGCCACCTACAGCCTGGCGTGTGGCTCCAATTAGAATGTTGGTTTCTGCGGTTAACCGCAGGTTAAGTACCCCCTCCCGGCAGTCTTCCTTCGCCTCCCGAACAACAGAGACATCCAGCGACAGAGCGGGGATTCGTGCAGACTTCTAGCCGGTTCCTGTTCCACAAGTTTGAGAGTGAAGTCCTGCGACCTATTAGTCTGCCTCAAAACATGGCCGCCATCACACGCTCAGAACCCAAAGACACGAACAGACTTTGTTTCGAGGAAATGAAGTGTACCATTCGTGGGTTCTGATCGCTCTTCGGTTAATTGTTTCACCTCAACCGGGGCTATGTAATGAATGGTGGAAGGCACGAATTATGTATAATACTAGTTGAGTTATGTATTTTTATTCTGTTTTCTATGGGGCAAAAACACGTGGGGTTTTGGCCGCTTGGAGATAATTGTATTGTTACAACCGTTGGATTCATTATCTCCAAGCTGGGCGGTGACGATTTCAAACGATGCATTGCATTTCTATTGGTTCCCCACTTGTATTGTCCCTGTATCCCATCAGGTCCAGAGGGGGCTGTCCCTGAGATTTTGCATAAATACGGTCCCCTGTGTGTCATTAAAGCCAGTTCTTGCTTGACCTTCAAATCGCAGCCTTGACTCGTTTTGTGGGGAAAAGGGTATCCTAGCTGTATGATAGCTAGTGGGATTGCTCTATATTTACAGGATTCGGATGGAATAACTACCGAAGTGGCTCTCCTCTGTCTCTGCCTTTGGGATCCAGACCATCCAAGTGGTCCAGCTTCCAGCTAGCCTGGAGGTAACCGTAACAACCAACGAGACCAGACAGAGCTGCCAATTGTTGCCGCTGTTATTCGTGCTGGCAATGGAGCCTTTGGCTGAGTCTATAAGACAGATTGTGGACATCAAAGGTATTGTGGTAGGAGAGAGGGAACATAAAATAGGCTTATTCACAGATGACATTATGCTATAGTTGAAAAATCCTTCGACCTTGATCCCGTCATTAATGTCTATCTTTTGCGAGAATATGGTGAAATTTCTTACTATAAACTAAACACAAATAAAACTCAGACGCTACCGTTTTTTGTCCCATGGCACATATTGAACACTTTAAAAGAGGACCTTAACTTTGATTGGAGGGGTTCATACATCTCCTATTTAGTTATTAATCTCTGTAAGAACCTGTCAAAGATGCATACATATAATTTAGCTAAGGTCTGGCCCGCTTTTAGGGATGACATTGAGAGATGGTGTAGTCTGGAAATTTCTTGGTTGAGCAGAATAAATTTGGTCAAATGACTCTCCTTCCTAAAAATTTATACTTTCTTAGAGTTATTCCTCTCACTATATGAACGGATCTTCACTAATAGGTAGGGGACCTTTTTTTAAGAAGGTTCACTCTGCCCTTCTGGCATTTGTGTGGAATAAAAAACCCTGCATAATTCAATTGGTTATTTTACAAAAACTCAGGTTTAGTGGAGGTATGGGTTTGCCGAATTTGAGTTAGTATTATTTAGTAACTAATGCAGCCAATGCTCTTAAATTTAATCTGGTACATGGTCGCCCGCTGTGGTTGGATGTCGAAGATCTCTTCTCATAAGATAACTAAAATGTAATAATTAGCCTCCTCTCTTTGGCCACGGATGGCGAACATGTTTCCAACCACCAAGACCACTGTTAAGGCTTGGGATGCTGTATTTAACCCCTTAAGGACACCTGACATGTATGACATGTCATGATTCCCTTTTATTCCAGAAGTTTGGTCCTTAAGGAGTTAAAAAAATTAAACCTTCTGCTTTTTGGTCCAGGGCCGCTACTCTGACGGTGTTGCGATCTTCATTACCTGATCTGGATGTGGAATATTCGCTCTCTCATTCTGTAAAACATATCAATGGTTTATTTTTGTCTAATACATTATCTTTTGACCAGTTACAGATCAAATTTGATCTGGATGCCTCTGATGCTCCGATGCACAGACAGATGGTAGAACAAATTTTAAGGTGTCTGATCAGGATTTGGATGCTTGTATAATAAACATGTCTCCATTAGAAAAACACTTATAAAAATCCTGGTCAGAGACGAATCATGTCGATGTGCCACTTGGTCCAAAATTAGACTACATGACAAAATGGGAGAGCGAGCTGATTTAAACTTTCACAGTTGAGGAATGGCATAAGATTAATTAAGCTTTGCGAGGAGTCTCACAATCCACTGCCCTATTAGAGTCACATTATAAACTCGTATATAGGTGGTACTTAACTCCCTCCAGACTTTTCAATTTCAAATGACTAAATACGAACAGATGTTGGAGGGAATGCAGACAGGTAGGCACACTGTATCATATCTTTTGGTCATGTCCAAAACTCACACAATACTGGAAAGATATACACACGTTAATTGGAATTCTTACCACTTTAATCCCAACTTTGTCACCCACAATGTGTCTACTGAAGAAACTCCCAGATGGTTTACCCAAATCTACAGAAATTATAATACTCCATATCCTGATCTCAGCAACCTCAGTCATCCCTTGATACTGGAAATTGGACACTATTCCTTCTATGAGGTGTTAAACAACACACTAGAGATCAAGAGGTGTGAATTGGACTTTAGAGCACCCTGATACACTCTGTAAACCCTAAGATATAAATGGGGACTCTCGGAGCGGGACGTCAGAAAAATATATTCACTTTAACACTTACCTCACTTGACCAGACATCAACTAAGAAAGTTATTCAATATTAAAACAACAAAGCAAATCGAGACACAGCAGATATTTTTATTTTTTTGTCATTTGTTATAATGCACAATTGACATAATGTTTATAACACAAACAATCTCATATATAAATGCAATTAATACTGGAAATATACATTCATTGTATTGCCCAGTTAAAAACAAAAGCAAAAAAACCTATACTTGGGGGGTACTGTTATACTCTGCAGACTTTTCTGAACACCTGTCAGGATTACTAGTTGATC